GGTGACCCCTGCCACTAAAAGTTGAACAATGTTAAAATAATTTGTTTTCATACAAGAAAGGGAAAGAAAAATGTGAGGCAGCGTGTTGAAATCAGGCTCTCGTCAAAAGAATGTAAATCAAGACACTTGCATTTTTCCGCACGTAAGGGAATTTTTATCAAATGTTCCGCTCGAGACCTTTCATGCACATTAAAGAACACATTTCTATGAGTATTTTACTGAAAAACGTTGATTAAAGGCATAAAAGATGCACATTTTCAGTTTTCACGGACTCTTAAGACAGGGAAATAATGCAACTTTGGGGGCTATTTTCTCGCTAACTTTACCTATGAAACCAGATGATCCTCACGTCTTTCAATCACACATAACTTGACTTCTATTAAGCATAGATGGATATTATTTTCTACCAAAACAAGGAAAATAGACAAGCTCTAAGATGATACCATCAACTTCGTATGCCTAAAAATTGACGAGAGCCTGATTCCAACGCTCCATAACACAAATATTCCCACTTTTGCCCTTGTACTGATCTCCATGGGGTGACATTTGGTTTGCGATGGCGCTGGCATCCATAAGTACGTTCATACAATAATAATTTATACCTTTTACCTAATACACAAAATCTCACCAATACCGACACTTGGTCAACACTTCATCTCTTGTGGCCACAGTACAGTACATGCACCTTGTTTCTGAGCTAGGATTACACGTCATGTTTAAGGACACACTCCAGCAACTAGCTATTAAAGTCAAATCACGAAGTTCAAAACCTACACTGGACAATCATTTTGTTAGTTTCAATGACGATTGTTTTTCTGTGCCAATGTAGGAATAAATACTGAAAATAGAACACTATATCTATTATCATAGTTGAATAATATTTTCAGGTAACAAATTTGGCTCAAAAGGTAGCTTCATAGTAACAACTTTACGGGACTCTCGTGGCCTAGAGTTACGGTGTTCGCCTCTCATTTAATTGGTTCTTGTTTCGAAACCTGACAGAGACGGAACTTTTTCTTCTTTTAAAAATCTTCTCCTTTCACTTCTCTTGATCTATAATCATGGACTGCCGTCTGCTTTAGTCTCCATTTTCTACTCTCACCGCTGCAGAAAGCAAACACAGTACTAAGCTGAAACAAAAATGTAATATAAAATTTCAGGTTTGTTTTCTTTCTTTTGGTGTAAAAAAAATTAGCGAAAACCCGGCTAAACTGAAAAAAATCTGGCGGCCCACAAAGTCCATTTTAAGCGGACTCCGTTGTGTGTTAGCATTAAGAAAAAAATGTGTCCCATCACTTCAGTCTCTCAAACAGGTGCCTTGTTATCTACATTTGTATTTATAAAATAGCTTTTCTTCATTTCTAGAATGTACAAATGTAAAGTCGCCAGTAAATCAATACAGTGGGTAAGTGTTTTTGTTTGTGCCAAGTTTAGGAACAGCGGTTGTAAGTTTACCATTTTGTAACCCCAACCCTGAATACAAGGTCCCGTACCCATTGTTGTTTCTGTCTGTTTTGTTGTCGAATTTGTTTTTGTTCCCGGGTATTAAAGACTCACCCCTGCAGGTGGGGGCCCCATAGTACTTGGAGGGAGCAAAGAATACACCTGCTTGTCGTAAGAGGCGACTAAAGGTGCAAATGTCTGGTCGCCCGATAAGTGCCAGTTTGCGGAGGGCCAACTACCCGACCCAGTAAAAACAGTCAGTTACAGAAACACGGACAGACACAGCTTTTAATTTTTCGATCTTGGGAGACGGACGAGCTTCTGCATCATCAGAAACAATGAAGGACAGCGGACAAAGCCGAAAGGACTCTTCTGACTCGAAACTTTCTATGTCGAACAAGTCTCTCCGAATTGCGTCATGTAATGTTCGCACCTTGTATGAGGCGGGAAAGAGTTATCAAGTAGTACAATAGATGAAGAGATACAGGCTGCACATATTAGGAGTCAGCGAAACACACTGGATACAGTCTGGACAGAAGCAGCTCAGCTCGGAGAACAAGTATTGTATTCTGGGAGGGAAGACAAGTAAGTATGCACAGAAGTCACTTAGAGGATGGGAACCACACGGGGAGAGGATCATCATGGCTTCATTTACTACAAAGAGCAAGAGCGTCAACATGAATATAGTCAAAATATACTCAGCAACAAATGATGCTTCGGATGAAGAAAATGATGCCTTTTATAGCCAGCTTCAGGGGGTCATCGATCAACTACCAAGAAAGGATGTCAACATCATAATGGGAGATGCCAATGCCAAGATTTGTCAGGGCAACATGGGGTATGAAGGAATTATGGGACAACATGGCTTGGGACAAATGAATGAGAACGGCGAGCGATTCGCAAATATATGTGCTTTCAACAGTTTTGTCATTGGAGACTCTGTTTTTCCCCACAAGAGGATTCACAAGGCCACATGGGTTTTGCAAGATAGAGTGGCGGAGAACCAGATAGATCATTACTGTGTCTCTCGTAGGTTCAGGGGTTCATTGGAAGATGTCAAAGTTTAGAGAGCGGCAGATGTTGGATCGGATCATCAATTGCTGTTAGCAAAACGTAAGCTTCCGCTCAAAAAGTACGGAACCAGCACAGGAATCAAAACGACGAAGTTCCAAGTAAGTCCCTTGGACAGACACAAAAAAGAAAAGTTTCAGCTGCAGCTGAGGAACAGATTTCAACTTCTGGCTGATCTTGACGGAGAGGACACGGAGGTGGATACAAACTGGAGCAAGGTCAAAAATGTCTTTACATCAACATGTCAAGAAATACTCGGTGAGAAGAAATGGGAGTAGAAAGAATGGATTAGCTAACACTCATTGGATTTAATTAGGATAAGAAGACAACTGAAGGCAGAAGCGA